GTTGTCAATATTATTTCTATGATTATTATTATCTTTAATATTATTGTTGTTATTATTATTTTGTACTTTTGTTATTATCATGATGATTAATATTATTATTGTTATTATTATTAGCACAATTCATTTATGTCTGTTAGTGAAAGTGTGTGTATGAGAGACGGCAGGAACTTCCTATGTACAGTTCGGGGGGAAAGAGGGGAAGGACGGACATGACTGAAACCTTAGAATACATGAAGGGTGGGAATAAGGTTCAGGAGGGCAGAATTTCCATTAGGAAGTTGAGATCAAGACCTCGGGGCCCCGACCTCAAACTCGCAGGAGGAACCTTCAAACCTAACCTGAGAAAGAACTATGTTACTGAAGGAGTAGTTGTTACTTGGTATAGACATCCAGCAGAGGAAGTGAGCCAGACAACAGTCAGTGAATTTGAACATAAGTGAGACAAACACAGGGGTTTGAAAGGTTAAAAAAAATTTAAAAAATGGGACAGATTGATAGAACACTTGTGGAGGGGGTTGGGATTGATCAAAAATGGAGCAGACAGAATCTGGAGCGGTTGCCCGGGGCAGCAAATGAAAGCAAGAAGCTGATTGGTCGCCAGGCACGGCTTCTCCAGTTTTGATAAATTCTAGGGATGCGCCGATACTCGGCATTTTCATGAGAGCTCCCGGGGGTTGCAGCGGTCGCAGCTGGGACCCGGCTCTGGCCCTCCACCACTGTCCTGAAATCATTAGTCTGCATTGTTTTATGTATCTGTACTTAGTATCGGAATGGTTTTCTTTTTTTGCTGTTTGTGTCTCATTGGGGGGATTTTCCTTCACTTTCTGACCTGGGGATACAATAGGAAGTGAGAGGGTGACTGGTCTTGTCTCCGCCCCCTCCTGTAATAAAGACCGCTCACTGCTGCTCTCTCTCTCTCCTTGTGCAGAGTGACTGGTCTTGTCTCCGCCCCCTCCTGTAATAAAGACCGCTCACTGCTGCACTCTCTCCTTGTACAAGGTGACTGGTCTTGTCTCCGCCCCCTCCTCTAATAAAGACAAGTCACTGCTTCTCTCTCTCCTTGTACAGGGTGACTGGTCTTGTCTCCGCCCCCTCCTCTAATAAAGACCAGTCACTGCTTCTCTCTCTCCTTGTACAGGGTGACTGGTCTTGTCTCCGCCCCCTCCTGTAATAAAGACCGCTCACTGCTGCACTCTCTCCTTGTACAAGGTGACTGGTCTTGTCTCCGCCCCCTCCTCTAATAAAGACAAGTCACTGCTTCTCTCTCTCCTTGTACAGGGTGACTGGTCTTGTCTCCGCCCCCTCCTCTAATAAAGACCAGTCACTGCTTCTCTCTCTCCTTGTACAGGGTGACTGGTCTTGTCTCCGCCCCCTCCTGTAATAAAGACCGCTCACTGCTGCGCTCTCTCCTTGTGCAGGGTGACTGGTCTTGTCTCCGCCCCCTCCTGTAGTTTTCTGGTGTGGGCTGCGTCTGCCCCTCCCACAGCTCTGATCTCTGTGCAGGCTATGTACAGCACAGGGATGATGTCACTGCTACTTTTACAAAGTAATATCCGGGTCACTTGGTGCACACACGGTGGATTTATACTCTTTGTGGCTATTGAGGAATAGATTGAAATGAAGGTGTTTGCGGCCGGAGTTCGGCTTTGATGAAATCAGGACGGAAGTTGTGGTCAGAGCGATGGGGAAAACACTTCTGCAGAACTGACTGACACTGATTGATGGACTATGAGACAGGAGAGGAGAGGGAAGTGCAGGAAGAGAAATGTAAGGCGTCGTTATGTTGTCACCTCAGTTCATGATTCTGCTCAGGGAGAAGGACGAAATGCTGCAATGGCGCCTCTTCTACACCTTCCCTTTATTGCCTCTTCTGTATGTCCGCCGCCCGATCATCTGTATGCAACTGCAGAGTGGGCCCCCCAGCCCGCCACCACTGCTGGCAATCCCAGGCTCTGCCGTTCCCCCTGTGTGGGCCCGGGACCGGCACATCGGTTGTCTGTGGCTAGATCCTTCCAGCGGCTGATCTCCCCTCCGATCACTGAACCCGGAAGTGACGATGGTTTCATTTTTCCTGCTGCTGTAGCCGGAGAAGAAGCCGCGTATAGGGGGCATCAGCAAAAGACGATGCAATATACAACATAGTGTACAGAGGCATCAGCCAGGACTATGTAATGTACAACATAGTGTACAGAGGCATCAGCCAGGACTATGTAATGTACAACATAGTGTACAGAGGCATCAGCCAGGACTATGTAATGTACAACATAGTGTACAGAGGCATCAGCCAGGACTATGTAATGTACAATGTAGTGCATAGAATGGTCAGTCAGGGCTATGCAATGTACAACATACAGTATACATTGCACCACTAAGGACAATGCAATGTACAACATAGTGTATACAGTAATTAGCCAGGACTATGTAATGTATAACATAGGGTATAGATGCAAAAGTGTTGCAATGTACAAAATGGCATATGAAGTGTATCAGTAGGGACTATATAATGTACAACAGAGTGTATATACTGTAGAGTCCATAAGTAAGGAGCATGTAATGTACACCATACAGTAGTGCAGGGGCCAGTAACATGTAACACTCATGTGCCCTTCACTCTGCTGGTCAATGGGAGGAAGAAGGTATCAGTCTTCAGTGGCAGGAAACATTACTCTGGCATTGTTGGTCAGAGGGAGTGAAAACAAACGGCCGCTTCCTCCCATCTCACTGGTCATACGACCAGACACATGATGGGGGGGGCAGTTTGCCTGCGCTCCCCGATGGTTGCCTGTTCTGATAGGAGGTCAGTATGTGGCTCCACCTTCATATAGGTAGCCATGCATGGTCTTGTCTATCATGGCACCTCCTGCCCCAGTGTGACCGGAACCCTATTGGACAGACACACAATTTTGGACAATGTCCCGTAGTGTCACAGCTCGTGTTACTCTCAGATGTGCACCAGGCGGTGTGTTCATAGGTGCAGCCACGACAGAGACGCTGATTAAATGTGGGCGAGCGAGTTTATTTCTCTCCCACTCACAGACTGACAAAGACCACGCAGTGCGCGGTAAACACGATGCTTATAAACCACAAACTTTGCTAAACCTCAATGCATTAAAGGGAAAGTGTTTTCAGGGACCACATACACTATATTGCCAAAAGTATTGGGACGCCTTTACACGCACTTGAAGTTTAATGGCATCCCAGTCTTAGTCCGTAGGGTTCAGTATTGGGTTGGCTCCGCCCTTTGCCGCTATAACAGCTTCAACTCTTCTGGGAAGGCGTCCACAAGGTTTAGGAGTGTGTCTATGGGAATGTTGGACCATTTGTGAGGTCAGGTACTGATGTTGGGGGAGGGGCTCGCAGTCTCCGCCTCTAATTCATCCCAAAGGTGTTCTATGGGGTTGAGGTCAGGACTCTGTGCGGCCAGTCACGTTCCTCCCCCCCAAACTCCCCCATCCATGTCTTTATGGACCTTGCTTTGTGCACTGGTGCGCAGTCATGTTGGAACAGGAAGGGGCCGTCCCCAAACTCCTCCCACAAAGTTGCGAGCATGACATTGTCCAAAATGTCTTTGTGTGCTGATGTCTTAAGAGTTCCCTTCACTGGAACTAAGGGATGGAGCCCAACCCCTGAAAAACTTTGCCAAATTTGCCCATGTGTTCTAAGAATAAAGTATATAGCTCTCGCTCCACTGCCAGGCCTCTTGATGGCTACCATCATTCAACCCACTTCCTGCGAGCCTAGGTTGTCACAGACTCTGTGTTGGCCTGGACCCTCAGTACCCTACCTCCAGAGAGGAGCGCTGACGTCAAAATGTCAGGAATTGTAAAAATGTAACCCTTGCAGTGGGGGCTTCACTATAGGGGTCAACTGCTCGTTTTTCTCTAGGGGCTGGAAGAAAGAAGATATACTCATCTGATCCTTGGTCTTGCGGCAGTCAGCTCTCAGCTCTCCTCCCCTCTGGTGGTGGAATGTCCTTTGGCATCCTCACGTCTAATGGTCTTGCATTAGATGTGATGACGTCACAGGCTCTTAGACTGCTGGAGCCCGGGGAAGAGGCTGTGGGAACCAGTCTAGAAGCCAGATGGGATGGACGATCAGGTGAGTATATCTTCTTTACTTTAGCCCCTAGACCAAAACACAAAGATTATATTGCCATTTCATATGCGGTTTTAGTGGTTGGGTTTACATAAACTTTAAAGGAGAACTATGGGGTTAAGGCTTTTCCCCATAGTTCTCCTTAGGGTAACAGAAGGACACAAACTAGCGTCCTCCCGTCACCCTAGGCTCAGTATATAGGGAGATACAGCAGTATACTGAGACGCCGCAGCCGGAACGGATCCCGACAATTCTGTCTGGAACCACCCAGCTGCGTGAGTGACAGCTGGCTCTGCCTATCTAGAGGCAGAGCCAGCTGTACCCGCCCCGTCCGTTCCGCCAGTCAGCGCTGGAGGATCGGAGCGGGGGGAATCCAGTCCCTCCCCTGTCACGGCTCTATGCAGTGAAAGGATCGAGAAGTGAGCGAGCGCCGGTATGTGTTCGCTCACCTCCCGATCTAATGAGCCGACCGGTGACAGTCTCATTGTCACAGGTCGGCTAGAACTATGAGGATGAGTGAAAATCACTCGCCTCATAGTTCTCCTTTAAGGCCAGATGCACGTTGCTGCATTGCGTTATGTACATTGGTGCTCTGCGGCACCCTAATACACCCTGCCAAGGGATGTGCATTGTAACACAGCGCCCCATAGGGCAATGCACAAACAAGCGTTTTGGTGTGCTGTCAAAAATACTAAATGCAGCTTTTTTTGGTGCAGTTTTGGTGCATTAGGCAGCACATTCCAATGAACCTTAACTCAATGCATGTCCATGGGTGCCATAAAGTGTGGCAGTTGGGCCCCAAATCTGCTTTTATTACTCAACCTGAAGAAATGGGATATAAAAAAAGGTGGCGGGGTCACTGTTATTACAACATAGTGTACAGAGGCATCAGCCAGGACTATGTAATGTACAACATAGTGTACAGAGGCATCAGCCAGGACTATGTAATGTACAACATAGTGTACAGAGGCATCAGCCAGGACTATGTAATGTACAACATAGTGTACAGAGGCATCAGCCAGGACTATGTAATGTACAACATAGTGTACAGAGGCATCAGCCAGGACTATGTAATGTACAACATAGTGTACAGAGGCATCAGCCAGGACTATGTAATGTACAACATAGTGTACAGAGGCATCAGCCAGGACTATGTAATGTACAATGTAGTGCATAGAATGGTCAGTCAGGGCTATGCAATGTACAACATACAGTATACATTGCACCACTAAGGACAATGCAATGTACAACATAGTGTATACAGTAATTAGCCAGGACTATGTAATGTATAACATAGGGTATAGATGCAAAAGTGTTGCAATGTACAAAATGGCATATGAAGTGTATCAGTAGGGACTATATAATGTACAACAGAGTGTATATACTGTAGAGTCCATAAGTAAGGAGCATGTAATGTACACCATACAGTAGTGCAGGGGCCAGTAACATGTAACACTCATGTGCCCTTCACTCTGCTGGTCAATGGGAGGAAGAAGGTATCAGTCTTCAGTGGCAGGAAACATTACTCTGGCATTGTTGGTCAGAGGGAGTGAAAACAAACGGCCGCTTCCTCCCATCTCACTGGTCATACGACCAGACACATGATGGGGGGGGCAGTTTGCCTGCGCTCCCCGATGGTTGCCTGTTCTGATAGGAGGTCAGTATGTGGCTCCACCTTCATATAGGTAGCCATGCATGGTCTTGTCTATCATGGCACCTCCTGCCCCAGTGTGACCGGAACCCTATTGGACAGACACACAATTTTGGACAATGTCCCGTAGTGTCACAGCTCGTGTTACTCTCAGATGTGCACCAGGCGGTGTGTTCATAGGTGCAGCCACGACAGAGACGCTGATTAAATGTGGGCGAGCGAGTTTATTTCTCTCCCACTCACAGACTGACAAAGACCACGCAGTGCGCGGTAAACACGATGCTTATAAACCACAAACTTTGCTAAACCTCAATGCATTAAAGGGAAAGTGTTTTCAGGGACCACATACACTATATTGCCAAAAGTATTGGGACGCCTTTACACGCACTTGAAGTTTAATGGCATCCCAGTCTTAGTCCGTAGGGTTCAGTATTGGGTTGGCTCCGCCCTTTGCCGCTATAACAGCTTCAACTCTTCTGGGAAGGCGTCCACAAGGTTTAGGAGTGTGTCTATGGGAATGTTGGACCATTTGTGAGGTCAGGTACTGATGTTGGGGGAGGGGCTCGCAGTCTCCGCTCTAATTCATCCCAAAGGTGTTCTATGGGGTTGAGGTCAGGACTCTGTGCGGCCAGTCACGTTCCTCCCCCCCAAACTCCCCCATCCATGTCTTTATGGACCTTGCTTTGTGCACTGGTGCGCAGTCATGTTGGAACAGGAAGGGGCCGTCCCCAAACTCCTCCCACAAAGTTGCGAGCATGACATTGTCCAAAATGTCTTTGTGTGCTGATGTCTTAAGAGTTCCCTTCACTGGAACTAAGGGATGGAGCCCAACCCCTGAAAAACTTTGCCAAATTTGCCCATGTGTTCTAAGAATAAAGTATATAGCTCTCGCTCCACTGCCAGGCCTCTTGATGGCTACCATCATTCAACCCACTTCCTGCGAGCCTAGGTTGTCACAGACTCTGTGTTGGCCTGGACCCTCAGTACCCTACCTCCAGAGAGGAGCGCTGACGTCAAAATGTCAGGAATTGTAAAAATGTAACCCTTGCAGTGGGGGCTTCACTATAGGGGTCAACTGCTCGTTTTTCTCTAGGGGCTGGAAGAAAGAAGATATACTCATCTGATCCTTGGTCTTGCGGCAGTCAGCTCTCAGCTCTCCTCCCCTCTGGTGGTGGAATGTCCTTTGGCATCCTCACGTCTAATGGTCTTGCATTAGATGTGATGACGTCACAGGCTCTTAGACTGCTGGAGCCCGGGGAAGAGGCTGTGGGAACCAGTCTAGAAGCCAGATGGGATGGACGATCAGGTGAGTATATCTTCTTTACTTTAGCCCCTAGACCAAAACACAAAGATTATATTGCCATTTCATATGCGGTTTTAGTGGTTGGGTTTACATAAACTTTAAAGGAGAACTATGGGGTTAAGGCTTTTCCCCATAGTTCTCCTTAGGGTAACAGAAGGACACAAACTAGCGTCCTCCCGTCACCCTAGGCTCAGTATATAGGGAGATACAGCAGTATACTGAGACGCCGCAGCCGGAACGGATCCCGACAATTCTGTCTGGAACCACCCAGCTGCGTGAGTGACAGCTGGCTCTGCCTATCTAGAGGCAGAGCCAGCTGTACCCGCCCCGTCCGTTCCGCCAGTCAGCGCTGGAGGATCGGAGCGGGGGGAATCCAGTCCCTCCCCTGTCACGGCTCTATGCAGTGAAAGGATCGAGAAGTGAGCGAGCGCCGGTATGTGTTCGCTCACCTCCCGATCTAATGAGCCGACCGGTGACAGTCTCATTGTCACAGGTCGGCTAGAACTATGAGGATGAGTGAAAATCACTCGCCTCATAGTTCTCCTTTAAGGCCAGATGCACGTTGCTGCATTGCGTTATGTACATTGGTGCTCTGCGGCACCCTAATACACCCTGCCAAGGGATGTGCATTGTAACACAGCGCCCCATAGGGCAATGCACAAACAAGCGTTTTGGTGTGCTGTCAAAAATACTAAATGCAGCTTTTTTTGGTGCAGTTTTGGTGCATTAGGCAGCACATTCCAATGAACCTTAACTCAATGCATGTCCATGGGTGCCATAAAGTGTGGCAGTTGGGCCCCAAATCTGCTTTTATTACTCAACCTGAAGAAATGGGATATAAAAAAAGGTGGCGGGGTCACTGTTAACATACTGTAATATCTGGCCTGTCCATGGAAACTCTGCCCAGTGCAGATCTCTGGGGCAAATCTCAGTGCCAATGGTCACATTGGAACTGGTGCCGCCCCATTTGAATAGGGCGCCGTCTGAATGGATGTATACGGCTCCAAGAAAGGTAGAAAGTCTCTTGCAATCATTTGCTCGGTATTGAGGTTGGTCAGGCTGTGTGTGTGCCCGGGATATCAGCTTCCATTAGAGCGCTCACAGATCTTCTTTCCTCAATGCCGAATCTCCTCTGCCTGCACTTCCTTCGAGGTAACTTGATTTTATTAAGTGAGGGACATTGCAGCATTGCAATGCAAAGCATCCCTCCAGGAGCCGGTGATCACAGTGGCATTGCTTAGCAACCTAATGCTTTGCTTACTCAGCCACTCCGACCATCCTTGGCAGACGGCGAGAACAACAAGCCGAACATACTGCCATACAATGACGGCAACATCAGGGCAGGAGAACGGCAGAGCTGCCAAACATCTTATTCCAAATGATATGGTGTAAGAGAGCTGAGAATGGGGGCCTAAATCCTTCCTAATTATCTGCCATAAAGGCGTATTACATTTTCACCCCATTTTGAAGCTGGAGTCACACAGGCTGGTAATAGTTAATGAAGGGTAACGGGTTAGTAATGGTTGAGAGAAAGGGCAGGGTTGGTAATGGTTGAGTGTAAAGTCACAGGCTGGTTAAGTTGAGGGAAGGACCACAGGCCAAGTGTGGTTTAGGGAAGGACACGGTTCAGTTTTGGCTAAGGGTAGGGGCACAGGTTAGTAACGGTTAAAGGAAGGGGGGGGGGG